CCTAATGATGTGATCCCGTTATCAACGACATCCAATGTCCATAGTCAGGAAACCATGACTATCTGTTGATCAACAAGCTAGTCAACTAGAGGCTTACTAGGGACATGTTGTGGTCTATGTATTCACACATGCATTACGATTTCCGGATAACACAATTATAGCATGAATAAAAGACAATTATCATGAACAAGGAAATATAATAATAATCATTTTATTATTGCCTCTAGGGCATATTTCCAATAAAAGCCCTACGTCTCGGTGCCCTGAGGCGGTCGACTGGAATATGGGTGTGTGTTACAAGGGGTGCGAACCCTTGTCCCAGAGGAGGGGGGTGGCTTGTATAGAGTGCGCCAGGACCCCATGCGTCCTCCGTTACAGGGGTTCAATGTACATTAAGACAGAGCATTACTGGTAACGCCAGCTATAAAGTGCTATTAATGATCTTTAAGACTACAGAGTGAACGCCTGACCGTTGCCATCCTGAGTGACTCTAGGTCTTCTGTACTCCGAGTGGTTTCCTGTATGGTCAAATGACTCCATACAGGTCGAGTGAAATTGGGGTATCCGGGTGAGGTGACTGGTCGAGTGGATTGCACTCGACGGCTTCAGTCAGTACTTCTTGCTATACTTTGAATGTCCTTGACTCTAGGGTAGTGACCTTGGGTAGGGCGTATAGGTCAGACCTATGACCCTATCATAGGTTCATGGCATCGTCATTAGCCCCTGAATGGATTGAGGTCCGATAGAGAGTTGAAGTTGACCTTGACTTGACTCTTATGCTTCATAGGCATTCTTGTTGAGCTCGAGGTTCATGCTGAAACTTCGACTTCATTTCAGTCGCCTTGATCGATTCAGAGGTCGTCGAGTGAACTTATGCTGGCAATCTTCGAGTGTTGATATGGTGTGAAATCTTCGGCACGATTGGTTACTGCGGTTCCCGGATCTCACGGGATCCGAAAATTTGGGGAAGCGCGTGAGGTGGAGCGCGCCGCAGTAAACGGGACGGATAGACATGGGCGCCTCGATTTCTGTGCCACCTTTTTCGCCATGTATTCGGTGCACGACTATTGCAAGATTTGACAGGATCGCTCGGGCCCACATGTCAGCCACTCGGAAGTAGGCCCATAAAAGGCGTCGAGGCCGATGCATATGCATAGTGCACTCCCATTCCCCTTCTTCTTCCTCTGCTTCTCCACCGCGTCCTCTTTCGCCCTTGATGCCGCCGCTCCGCCCGTGCAGCCCGCCACAATGGTGAAGGATAAGACGGCGGCTCTGGACTGTGCGAAGAAAGCAACGGCGACGGCGAAGGGCAAGAAGACGAGTCGGGGATCATCGTCAAGGTCCGGGATGCCGCCTAGTTGGATCCAGGGGGACTGGATCCGATCCATGCTCCGGCCAGAGGATCTGGAAGATCTGGCCTCCATGGGCTTGATTGCCGACGGGACTTTGAGGCTGCCCGGGGACGAGATAGAGCCTCAGCCGCGGGCGGGTGAGTGCGTCTTCCTTGCCACCCATGTCGACCGTGGGTTCTCCCTTTCCCCGCATCCTTTCTTACGGGGTTTTCAGAACTTTTTCGGTGCTCAGCTTCACCATTTCTCTCCCAACACCATCTCATACCTTGCTGCATTCATTTCTATGTGCAAAAGCTTCTTGGGCTGTAGAACGCACTGGGTCTCTTCAAACATATTTTCATAGTTCGTTCCCAAACCGTGAAGAAGGCAACTCCGACTGACGAGAGGACGCATGTGATTCAAATGTGCGGGGGTTTAGGGATTCAGATGAGGAAAAAAAGCACTTTTCTCCCTATGACCCTTCCTGAGTCGGTTAGGGGCTGGCAGTTGACCTTGTTCTACTGCCAGACATTCCGACCCCCGGTCAGTCGACCGGTCTTCCTCCCTTTACCCTAGATCGAGTCCACAACCTTCTTCACTGATTGTGACCGAAGCGGAGAGAGTAGAGACGAACATGTTAGTCGAGAGGGTAGTTCAGTTGGTCCATCAAGGGTAACTGACATGGATTTATTGGAAGTGTTTCTCAGTCGATGCATCCAGCTGCTACAAGCCCGTGATCATTCGATGTGGATGTACTCGGGCTCCAATGACACCACTCGGGTCCACCCAGAGGAGGTCCCCGATGAGACGGTGTCCCTGTGGCTGAAGAGCATTAGCAGAAACAAAGATAACCCTAGGAGGGCCAGGAGAGTGGATCCATTCGACGCTGACAACCAGCCGGACAAGGTCCGATCCTTATTACCGAGTGTACTTCATTTTGTCTTGCAACCGTCTTTGAATTTGACTGATGTTTGATTAACTTCTTGCCTTGCAGGTCTATACTAAGATGTATTCGATGTCGAACGGGGAGCAAGCCCAGGAGCAAGTCCAGGAGGAAGCGGATAGCATAGAGGAGAGCGCCGACTGGCAATCTCCTGATGATGATGATGATGAGGAAGAGAGTGATGAGTCGGATGACGAAGAAGAGGAGGTCGACTCACCACCTCGCACAGAGCACCGATCCAAGCAGTCTCATGATCCAGCGGGTGGGCGCAACAAGGCTGTGGCTCCAAGCACGCAAGTGCATAAGCGCACTCGGACCGGAGCCGTCAGAAAAGGTCACCAAGCAGCCCAAGGTTGCCCCTTCAAAGCCTCGGAAGACCTTGCCCAGGATCAAGATGGACGTTCCCGTCGCTTTTGTGTGAGTGTTCTGTCTCTCTTTGTTTTCCTACTGACTCATACTTCTGCTATGACCGAGTGGGCTATGAATTTTTCAGTTCTGCAACTTCCGGGACTTCCATGGATATTGACAAGGCTTAAGATGGTGAGGAGACTGAAGATGCGGCTACTTCCAAAGCTGGTACGATCCTGTAATCTTGTGCTTGTTTTGTCGACTGAATTGTTGGTCAATTGAGTCTCTATGGTTGCATTTTGTGTAGCCCCACGGGACGTCATTGAACTTCCAAACGACGATGAAGAAGCGCCTTAGAAGAATACAAGAAGGAGGGGCAGGTCTTTGAGCGGGAGGACGGTTGTAGGCCAGGAGCCTCAGTCGACATCGGCACCAGAGACGGTGGTCCAGTGATTCGGAGATCCGACTTAGGCCACTGTTTCTTTTGCCAATCTTGTGCCGACTGACCGTCCCTCGGCGTCGGTTGCTCAAGTCTCTGCTTCTCCTGCACAACTCCATGCTTCAGATCCTGTGATTGCTCCGACTGTACTGCCATCATCGCTCTTTGCTGCACATCACACTCCAGATGACCCGACGGGTGCCGCCAAGGAAGCCATACTCCAAGAAAATGTTATGATGGAGCAGATGAAGGTGGTGCATGAGGCCTGCCAGGCTGCCTACAACACCAGCTCTGCTCTGCATGTTAATGTCAAGGTCAGTTGATTTCGGACTTATCTCTCAATTTGATTTTTGCCTTGCTATGATATAGTAGCTGTAGCTGCTGCTTCACTGTCCGTAAGATGTCTCTGGATGAGCGTTTTGGAACCTTTTATGTGCATCTATCATGAGTCTGCATTTTTCATTTAATCACCCACTGGGTGTTTTAACTTGGTGTTGAATAACTCTTCTACTTGGGTCGACCAAATTGAGTCGAGTGTATCTCTGAACCAGTGGGGGCACACAAAGTGCACCCACTGGGTGTAGTCCACGAGACCGCCGTCGGATGTTTGATTCGACGGGGGTCTTTGTCGAATGTCACTTCATTGTTCTTTCACTCGGTTGAATAGCTTGTTTCGAGTGGAATCCAGACCAGCGGGGGCACGCAGAGTGCACCAATTAGGTGTAGTCCCCGAGACCACGGTCGACTGCTGGCAGTCGGCTGGCGTCTGAGAATCCCTCTATTTTTTTTGCATACTCATGCTTGGCAGACCATGCTGAGTGGTAAACTGGACCAGTGGGGACACGCTAAGTGCACCCACTGGGCGTAGTCCGCGAGACTACTGTTGAATATTTTGATTCAGCGGTAGTCTTAGAACACTTTTTTTTGCTGAGATTAATCATTGTTTCTGTCGACTGACGTGCCTTGTTTCCTGACCGCAGAAATCTTTTGAGCTCGGGGCCCGGTTTGCTGAGTTGGAGAAGAAACAGATCAGCCTCAACCTTGATCTGGAACTGGCCAAGAAGAATCTTCAGAAGGTTTGGATTGAGCGAAATCGACGAAAGCAACAAAAAAAAGGCAACAGTTGAATAGGTGGTCTCTTTAAATTATGTCATTGAAATTTTAAGGTTTTGTCTGCCCTAGTTATTGCACATCTAAGCGAGTCAATTAAACTAGAAAGAAAGGAAAAAGACAAAAGAAATGCTTGCATGAGTCTTAGATAAAATCAATGACATAGTACTAAGATGTGCAATCCTTAGAGCACATCTAGATGTGCTTTAGCAGAACTGAAATTTTAATTCAGATACAACCTCCACATTCAGTGACAAATGAGGCGAATTTTATTGTAAATACTCTCTCCATTGGGAGATACTTGACGAAGAAATGATTGTTTCTGAACGTATTTTACTTCTAAATATATTTATTTTATATCTATTTTTATGACAAGTAATTTCAAACGAGGGTAGCTACGGTATTTTTAATCATCTGCTCGCAGCAAAGTCGAAAAATTGACATCTGGATGGACGGTGTGCTGACGGAAGGGCTTGCCCGATGGGGGGCAGCAGCAGGTAGTGCATAAAAAATACTAGTAATTAAGACAGACTCATCTCCAGTCAAGCATGATTGAAGGAAACTGATTTTTAGTAAAAGTTTTAAAAATTCATAGCCGGACTAGTAGACACAGGCTCATATGCTCATCGCCCAGGCATCACGGATGACACTGTCCTCGAAGTAGCATCAGGGATGACGCATACATATGTTGTCCATAGACACTATATAAACAGTTTATCCACCTGTGAAACATCCATCAAAAATAAGCACAAGCACAAGCAGCTAAAGCAATCTCAGTGGTCTTCAAAACACACACACACACACACAACATCGATCGAGGTAGTTAGAGATGGCCGGACGAGATGACCTGAAGCTGCTCGGCACATGGCCAAGCCCGTTTGTTACCAGGGTGAAGCTGGCACTCGCCCTGAAGGGCCTGAGCTACGAGGACGTGGAGGAGGACCTGTACGAGAAGAGCGAGCTTCTCCTCAAGTCCAACCCGGTGCACAAGAAGATACCAGTGCTCATCCACAACGGCGCCCCGGTCTGCGAGTCCATGATCATTCTGCAGTACATTGACGAAGTCTTCGCCGGCACCGGCCCGTCCCTTCTCCCAGCGGACCCCTACGAGCGCGCCATTGCTCGCTTCTGGATGGCCTACGTTGACGACAAAGTTTAAATTATCTTCACTTACTTGCACTACTTGTCTCCGTTCCTTTACTTTTAGATATCGAACGAGCAACTTTGACCATTATTTTTCTCCGTGTTTCAGCTGGTAGCCCCATGAAGGCAGTGGTTGAGTGGCAAGACAGAGGAGGAGAAATCCGAGGGAAAGAAGCAGGCGTTCGCGGCGGTGGAGATTCTTGAAGGGGCCCTGAGGGAATGCTCCAAGGGAGGGGGCTTCTTCGGCGGCGACGGCCTCGGGCTCGTCGACGTTGCGCTGGGAGGCGTGCTGTCGTGGATGAAGGTGACCGAGGTGTTGTCCGGTGACAAGATCTTCGATGCCGCCAAGACCCCGCTCCTGGCCGCATGGGTGGAGCGCTTCAGCGAGCTCGACGCGGCCAAGGTGGCCCTGCCAGACGTGGGCAGGCTGCTTGAGTTCGCCAAGGCACGAGAGGCTGCCGCTGCACCGTCTAACTGAGCCAGCACACATCCAGAATAACTAAAATTTGCTATTTTTAAATGTTGTTTGTTTGGCTGCTTGATGTAATAATGTAGCAGTAACTCATGTCGTCCATTTATTCAGTGTTGATTATGTCCTTGAGTTTTTAATATTTTGCTTTTGTGTGGAGTTCGCAAATTTTATAATGCGTGCATGTATTAGCTGAGGTTCTCTTTCTGATTCAAGAGATGAGTTCGACAGTTTTTTTAATCTACCAGCAAAATGCTTACAAATTGCTTTATGGTAAATTTGGTCTGAATTTATATATATTTCATTCATCGTTGTGATACTTGGGCTAGACCAAGTAAAGGAGAAATAGTCAATATTTCTTCGCACCTTTGCTATGGAAATGCAGATATATTTGAGTGACCGTTTGTTGATCAATCATGCTGTTGTAGTTCATAAGACGTTTCAAAAGAGGCACGCAAAACCCCTCGGATTAGCCTCAATCCAGCAAAAATGATTTCTTGAAAGACTTCTCAATCGAGGTAATTTGGTCAGCCACCTCAAAAATAAAATATATATTTTTGAAAAATAAAATAAAATAAAAATAGCACCAACACCTCCAACTTTTGGCAAGACCCCAAACCTCTCAATGCAGAGTAGAAAACAAGTTGGGGGCTTAAATTTTGTAGCAGTCGAAAGTCTAGGAAAATATATTTTGGTGTAATTCGCTAAAGAGAACCAAATGCCTCTCAACCATACATCGATGATCAGATGACAGACATACCGAAAACAATCCATCATACTACTACCTAGCATGGTTGCGGGTAGGTCCATAGAAAATTTCCAATCTCTTAGAGCATCTCCAATGCGGCGACCCATTTGGTCCGGCCGCATCCGTTTATGTCCGCCCGGACGAAAAAGATGCCCAAGCGGACACCCATTCCCATTTTCTGTTCGTTTTGTTTGCGTTTGGACCCATTTTCGTTGCAAATTGGGTCAGATTTGGGTCCGAAGCGGACACAACCGGACTTATTCTGCGTCCTCCTTGTCCGAATGTCCGCTGCATCTTGAGTAAGACAAGGGCTATGGGCCGGATTAGGAACGGTTTGTTCCTTCCCTTCGGAGGTTTTGGTAACAATGGTTTTTGGTGTCTCGGCAATGGTTTGATCGACATACCCATATAGCCCTGTCCCCATGATCTGGGAGCGAGCTTGGGCTCACGATAGAATATAGTTGGTTCTTGTGAGAGGCTCGGAGATGGTATTGTTCAGGCTGGTGGAGATAGTTTGGCTGGAGAAAGAAATAGTGGGTGTGATGGGAAGATGGGAGGCTGGATGATGCGATTGAGAAGATGGTTGCTAGATGCAGTGGAAGAGGGAGGCTTTGATTACCATGTGAAGATTGTGGAAGCATCTCAACTCTCAAATAGAGGACTCACATTGGTTTATATTGATCTGATCGAGAGATGTCTCTCGTAGGTTACAGTATTCGGCAGCCAGGCTAACCGCAGGAGGACTACAAGGGGAGATAGAGACAAGAGATTAGCTTAAATAGAATATCACTAACTATCTGTCGTGGTTGTAAGTCTGACAGTAAGAGTAGGGGGTACGTATGAGGAGGCAAGGCCCTAGTTACGGCGAGATTGTACGCACAAGTTTACGAGTTCAGGCCCCTCTTGAAGGAGGTAAAAGCCCTACGTCTCGGTGCCCTAAGACGGTCGACTGGAATATGGGTGTGTTACAAGGGGTGCGAACCCTTGTCCCAGAGGAGGGGGTGGCTTATATACACTGCGCCAGGACCCCATGCGTCCTCCGTTACAGGGGTTCAATGTACATTAAGACAGAGCGTTAGTGGTAACGCCGGCTATAAAATGCTATTAATGATCTTTAAGACTACAGAGTGAACGCCTGACCGTTGCCATCATGAGTGACTCTAGGTCTTCTGTACTCCGAGTGGTTTCCTGTATGGTCAAATGACTCCATCCAGGTCGAGTGAAATTGGGGTATCCGGGTGAGGTGACTGGTCGAGTGGATTGCACTCGACGGCTTCAGTCAGTACTTCTTGCTATACTTTGAATGTCCTTGACTCTAGGGTACTGACCTTGGGTAGGGCGTATAGGTCAGACCTATGACCCTATCATAGGTTCATGGCATCGTCATTAGCCCCCGAATGGATTGAGGTCCGATAGCGAGTTGAAGTTGACCTTGACTTGACTCTTATGCTTCATAGGCATTCTTGTTGAGCTCGAGGTTCATGCTGAAACTTCGACTTCATTTCAGTCACCTTGATCGATTCAGAGGTCGTCGACTGAACTTATGCTGGCAACCTTCGAGTGTTGATATGGTGTGAAATCTTCGGCACGATTGGTTACTGCGGTTCCCGGATCTCACGGGATCTGAAAATTTGGGGAAGCGCGCGAGGTGGAGCGCGCCACAGTAAACGGGACGGATAGACATGGGCGCCTCGATTTCTATGCCACCTTTTTCGCCGCGTGTTCGGTGCGTGACTATTGCGGGATTTGACAGGATCGCTCGGGCCCACTCGTCAGCCACTCGGAAGTAGGCCCATAAAAGGTGTCAAGGCCGATGCATTTGCACAGTGCACTCCCATTCCCCTTCTTCTTCCTCTGCTTCTCCACCGCGTCCTCTTTCGCCCTTGACGCCGTCGCTCCGCCCGTGCGCAGCCTGCCACAGTGGTGAAGGATAAGACGGCGGCACTGGAGTGAGCGAAGAAAGCGACGACGACAGCGAAGGGCAAGAAAACGAGTCGGGGATCATCGTCAAGGTCTGGGATGCCGCCTGGTTGGATCCAGGGGGACTGGATCCGATCCACGCTCCGGCCAGAGGATCTGGAAGATCTGGCCTCCATGGGCTTGATTGCTGACGGGACTTCGAGGCTGCCGGGGGACGAGATAGAGCCTCAGCCGCGGGCGGGTGAGTGCGTCCTCCTTGCCACCCATGTCGACCGTGGGTTCTCCCTTGCCCCGCATCCTTTCTTACAGGGTTTCAGAACTTTTTCGGTGCTCAGCTTCACCATTTCTCTCCCAACACCATCACATACCTTGCTGCATTCGTTTCTATGTGCGAAAACTTCTTGGGCTGTAGACCGCACTGGGGTCTCTTCAAACATATTTTCACAGTTCGTTCCCAAACCGTGAAGAAGGAAAATCCGACTGACGAGAGGATGCATGTGATTCAAATGTGCGGGGGTTTAGGGATTCACATGAGGAAGAGGAGCACTTTTCCCCCTTTGACCCTTCCTGAGTCGGTTAGGGGCTGGCAGTTGACCTTGTTCTACTGCGAGACATTCCGACCCCCGGTCAGTCGACCGATCTTCCTCCCTTTACCCTAGATCGAGTCCAGCAACCTTGTTCACTGATTGTGACCAAAGCGGAGAGAGTAGAGACAAACATGTTAGTCGAGAGGGTAGTTCAGTTGGTCCCTCAGGGCGTAACTGACATGGATTTATTGGAAGTGTTTCTCAGTCGATGCATCCAGCTGCTACAAGCCCGTGATCATTCGATGTGGATGTACTTGGGCTCCAATGACACCGCTCGGGTCCACCCAGAGGAGGTCCCCGACGAGATGGTGGCCCTGTGGCTGAAGAGCATTACCGAAAACAAAGATAACCCTAGGGGGGCCAGGAAAGTCGATCCATTCAACGTTGACAACCAGCCGGACAAGGTCCGATCCTTATTACCGAGTGTACTTCATTCTGTCTTGCAACCGTCTTTGAATATGACTGATGTTTGATTAACTTCTTGCCTTGCAGGTCTATACTAAGATGTATTCGATGTCGAACAGGGAGCAAGCCCAGGAGCAAGTCCAGGAGGAAGCAGATAGCGCAGAGGAGAGCGCCGACTGGCAATCTTCTGATGATGATGATGAGGAAGAGAGTGATGAGTCAGACGACGAAGAAGAGGAGGTCGACTCACCACCTCGCACAGAGCGCCGATCCAAGCAGTCTCATGATCCAGCGGGAGGCCGCAACAAGGCTGTGGCTCCGAGCACGCAAGTGCATAAGCGCACTCGGACCGGAGCCGTCAGAAAAGGTCACCAAGCAGCCCAAGGTTTCCCCTTCAAAGCCTCAGAAGACCTTGCCCAGGATCAAGATGGACGTTCCCGTCGCTTCTGCGTGAGTGTTCTGTCTCTGTGTTCTCCTACTGACTCATACTTCAGCTATGACCGAGTGGGCTATGAATTTTTCAGTGCTGCAACTTCCGGGACTTCCATGGATATTGACAAGGCTTAAGATGATGAGGAGACTGAAGATGCGGCAACTTCCAAAGCTGGTACGATCCTGTAATCTTGTGCTTGTTTTGTCGACTGAATTGCTGGTCAATTGAGCCTCTATGGTTGCATTTTGTGTAGCCCCACGGGACGTCATTAAACTTCCAGACGACGATGAAGAAGCGCCTTAGAAGAATACAGGAAGGAGGGGCAGGGCTTCGAGCGGGAGGACGGTTGTAGGCCAGGAGCCTCAGTCGACATCGGCACCAGAGACGGTGGTCCAGTGATTCGGAGATCCGACTCGGGCCACTATTTCTTTTGCCAATCTTGTGTCGACTGACCATCCCTCGGCGTCGATTGCTCAAGTCTCTGCTTCTCCTACACAGTTCCATGCTTCAGATCCTGTGATTGCTCTGACTGTACTGCCATCGTCGCTCTTTGCTGCACATCACACTCCAAATGACCCGGCGGGTGCCGCCAAGGAAGCCATACTCCAAGCAAACGTTATGATGGAGCAGATGAAGGTGGTGCACGAGGCCAGCCAGGCTGCCCACAACGCCAGCTCTGCTCTGCGTGTTAATGTCAAGGTCAGTTGATTTCGGACTGATCTCTCAATTTGATCCCGAAGTCCGCCGTCGGATGTTTGATTCGACGGGGGTCTTTGTCGAATGTCACTTCATTGTTCTTTCACTCGGTTGAATAGCTTGTTTCGAGTGGAATCCAGACCAGCGGGGGCACGCAGAGTGCACCAACTAGGTGTAGTCCCGGAGACCACGGTCGACTGCTGGTAGTCGGCTGTGGTCT